ATGGTGCCAACTTGGGCCAGTGAAGCAACATCCTCCACAACTAGACTGAAGAACAAAAGGACAGCAACTTGTCTGTTCCCCTTCCCCTGATTCCCCAGCGTTGTTCCCCTCCCCCAATTCCCCAATAAAAAATCTTTGAAAAAAAAAAAGTGAATCAGAACCAAGATTTTATGCCTTTGCTTGAAAGCCACTTGCCATTGGTTAGGATGCATACTGTTGCAAGTAACAGAAATTAGTTTAAGCAATGTGGGTATAATTGCTCCTGTCATTGTAAAGTCCCAAGTTAGCCAGCAGTAAGGGCTGAAATGATTCAGCGTCTCAATGATGTAATCACCAAGAAGTTTCTTTGCATCTTTTTGCTTTTCCTTCCAGTCGCCTTCATCCTACGACAGGCTCCCCCTTGTGGTCACAGTGCATTTGCCAACAACTTCCTACCTCGTATTTCCGCAGAACTCCAGAGCCAAGCCTGCAGTCACTTACCCATCCTGACCTAATCAGTGTGGCGAGGGTGGAACTAGCTTAGACAGAACCACACGCTGCATTCCTAGAGTCACAGTGGCGTTAGCTTCCTCCAAGGAGCTGGGATATAAGTGGCTGGTGTGAATACTGAATAAAAAACGAGGGTAGTTAGATAACAAGAAGAGGGAGCAGAGATGTGGGAGACGTGGGGACAAGGTCTGTTACATTCTGGATTTAGTTGTTCTAAACATTCTAGGAAAGAAATCTGCCATTGACATGGACGTTTTCTCACAACACACCTTCCTAACTCATGACGATATATACTCTAATCCTCCTTGCTGTCCTAAGTCCTCAACACCGAACTTATATCACCTTCCTTCACAGCTGTTTGCTTACAGTTCACATTTGGCAGAACACCTGCCAGAATTTTTATGTGACAAATGAACAAATGCTTCTTCGGTGACCACCTTTCAGTTTGTGTGCACACCTAGCCTTCTATGCCTAGATTTTTTTTTTTCTGTGAAAACCCATCTTTTCAACCAAAACAATAATCATCGAGGGGAAAGAAACATGAATTTTAAATTGATTTTCTACCCAGGGCTGTATCTTCAGCAAGCATTTTTAATTGTGCTCTACACAGAGATTTTTAAAATCTCTAGTGTGCTGATACCCTTAAGGGATTTTCCTATGAAGGGAGCAATTTAAAAATGTACAAAAATAATTGATATTGAACATTCTTGTCTCTAGCTTCCCTTGTAGTTTTGAAATATTGGCCAAATATTTATCTTTTGGGGCTAGGAGTTGGAAATAGCGATGAAGAGAGATGAATTGCCTGAAGCATTTCATTGATTTGCCATGAGTGGGTAAATACATCAAATTACAAACCTACCCAGTTCCATCAAAGAAGGGTGTCAGCATACTGTATGCTATCCCTGTAGTCATAGTTTTTAAACCTTAGAAACGTGTTCTTCTTGTTATGTTGGCTTTGCTGCGTGTGGCTTTGTGTTTTTTGTTTTGTCTTTCATAAGAGAAAAATTAAGGAAACCCAGTTCAGAACTTGTAGCTTCATCTGAAACATGGAAACTCATTTTGTTGTCTAAAAACCCACACTTAAAAATTATTCATGAACAAAGTCACTCAGTATTCAAAAGAGGAAATAATAATTTCCTTTCAGTTAAAAACAAATGATGTTTTTTGTGGAACTCTCAGGGCAATGCAAAGGGTCATGCTCCTGAAAAACCACAAATAAAGACAAGACAGCAAGTACCTGCTGTCATTGTTCTCTTAAGATAGGTATGTTTTGGTGCTATCAGTTCAAGAAAGACCTACAGTTATAGTCTATTTGGAAGATATTTCAAAGTGGTTTATGGAACTTTTCACCCCAGAAGTTACTTCCTATTAATGCAGCCATGATTATAGAAATCATGCACATGCATGCATATAAACACACACACACACACACACACACACACACACACACACACAGAGCGAGAGCGAAAGCGAGAAAAAGGAGAGACACACACACACATAAAAGCAGGCTTCTTTCTTTATGACTGTTTCCAGATACAGATTTCTGTAGGTTACAGTTTTTCTGCCTTTGATTGCAATATAAAGTACTTAAACCCACAGAGTACATGGAAGATGAATATACCTCTGTGAGGATGAGAGGGAGTGATGGACTGAGACAGCACACAAACTGACTAGCTATTTCAGCTTTTCTCGTACAATGAGTGAGGCCGAGGCTGTCCGCATGATGACTGGGAATACAGCTCCAGAAGGATTGCAGCCCCGACCATTTGCAGGTCTGTGTTGCTAAAGCTCAACCTTCATGGCCTGCTAAACGTTGAACTCAGAGTGGCCTCCTGGGCTCCCAACACCTACCCACCCCCACACATCTGTATCCTACACCACCTCTCATTCTTGGTACCCGCCTTCCCCCCGTTACCTGTTTGGACCTACAACTCAAGAACACTCTTCACTGTTTCTTTCAAAGGTCTGGAGTGGGTGTGATTAGGCACTGAAGAAATACTACCTCTCCTGCATAGGGGTAAACAGAGCTGGGATAAGGAATTAGAATCAGATAAACAGGAAGACCCACACAAACAAAAAATAACAACAAAAAAAACCACTGTTAAACAGAAGAGCAGAGGTCACAGGTCATGTCATCTGAGTGCCCGGTTGAAACTGGCTTCACTGTCATCAACTATACCAACGTTTCTGTGGTTTTTTGTTTTTCAAAGGAAGCTCATGTTGAAAAATCACCCAAGATACACCGCTGCAGCAGCAAGAACCGTCCTGCCTAAAAATACTTCCTCCAAGTGCACATCTGCCTTGCTGCCTGAGGTTCTTCCCACTGTCTGATTATATCTAATCATGATGATCCAAAATATTAATTCTGGAGATTGGAGATTTGAGAACTTTCGGTGGGGGTATTTTCCACAAAATATGGTACACGTGTCACTGTGGTCAGCATGATGATTTTAAGGTACATACAAGCATTTATCTTTTTAATAGTTATGCGCTGATTTTAATATGTATTAAAAGAAAATACCACTAGCACATTAGTCACTGGACTTAATAGCACCATTTAGGGCGAGCTCATTACCAAGCTCCAAGGCCAGTGTCTCATTAGATGCTCTCTGGGCCAAGTGGTTAGCATGGGAGAATCATGGACAGAGACTTGGGGAGATGCGTCTCCTCCTCCCTGGCCTGGTGGCCGTGGACAGGTGTCTCCTGGCAATATTGATCCCAGGCAGCCCTGGGAGAATGAAGACTTCCCCACAGTATCCAGCCTTGACCTTCAGCCATAGGTCTCCGTGCTCAAATCAGATTCCACATGACCCAGGATTTTGAAACATTTAATCAAAAAACAAAAATGTGGCATTTTAAAAGTTGGATTTACAAACTTGACACTTTCTTAATATTAGCAATTTATCTATTTATACATTGTCTAGAAAATAAGGTCTATGGAGACACCAACAAAATCTTTAAGAGCTCATTATATGCCACAGCACTTTGCAAATAAGTATCCAGTTTAATTGTAACAAACCACAGGGAGCAAAATTTAACTAAGTATATAAAAACATTAGTTAAATACAATTCTTTGGAAATATACATTATACCTACAGCTGTTTTTACAGTGAGAGTCTTCCTTTTGTTCCCTTTTCTTAATTCTCAAAATGGCAAATCACTGTACGGTCCTGGATCTCCAAGCTATAAAACTGAAATATGTGTTTCCAGCGTAGCAGATGGTGACCAGGAAGGCAAAGAACTGGAGAAAACAAAGCATAATAGAAACAGCGTTTAGGGCACATTCTAATTAGCAAAAGTTATCATTTCACCTCCACTGAGTTATGCACTCACAGCATCCCTTGACTCCAGGCTTTCTCATCTAAAACTGCATTACTGGTTCAATTACTTTCCTTTTAAAATGATTTCTGGCTACGCTGTTTTTCTTTTTGGAACTTTTCTGGAAAGCCTGTAGTTTTGCTCAAATAACCCCAGGGTGCTTGCTTAGGGGTGAATATGGTGGTGTGCATGTGAGAAAAGCACATGTATTTCTAATTTAGTACAGTAGTCATCCCTCTTTAACTGCAGGGGATACATTCCAGGGTCCCCAGTGGATGCCTGAACCTGTGGATAGTACAAACCCTATATAGATATACTATGTTTTTTTCTACATATACATACCTACGATAAAGTTTAATTTATAAATTAGGCACAGTAAGAGATTAACAATCATAACTACTAATAAAATAGGACAATTATAACAATATACGGTAATAAGTTATGTGAATGCAGTCTCTCTCTCTGATAAACTATCTGATAGCCGAGAAGGGTATTAAGTGACTACTGGGTGGGAGCCTATACAGTGTGGAGATGCTGGACAAAGGGACGATTCGAGCCCTGGACAGGATGGAGTAGGACGGTGCAAAATTTCATCAGGGTACTCAGAGGGGTGTGCCATTTAAAACTTATGAATGTTTTATTTCTGGAATTTTCCATGTAATATTTTTGGACACTGGTTGACCGCAGGTAACCATAACTGCAGAAAGTAAAACCACGGATAATGGGGGAACTACTGTATAGGCAATTTTAGACCAGGGCTGAAACTCAGATTGCCACAGGATCAGTTAACAGAAATGAGTTGAGTGGGCAGGAGGAAGTGATGAGCCCATCTGGGGGGTGTGGTGTGAATGGTAAGTGGAGAAATGCAGGCCCCTCTTATGGGGCAACCACCGCCCAGGTCCAACTAGTCTTGCTATGTGTTAACTGGAGCCCAGTGCTGCCAAAGCTTGTGATTTTTAATCTTGTGTGCACTCAGGCATGCTACCTTTAAATAGAGATTTTGAAATATAAAGAATATAACAGAAACCCATGTATCATCAGTCAGGTTTAACATTATCATTTTCACTTTCCTGTCTGGTTCCACCCGCTCCCCTCCCCCACACACACTTCTTTTGCAGATGGAATATTTTAAGGCCAATATCAGAGAAACTTTTAAAATTAGTTTTCTAAATTAGAAAAATACATGCTTATGGCTTAAAAATGAAAACACTACAGGGCTGCCCGAGTGGCTCAGTTGGTTAAGAGCTCGCTCAAGAGTGCGAGCTCTGAGCAACAAGATTTAGCTGGTTCGATTCCCAGCCTGAACTGGCAGGATGGCTCAGCTAAAAAAAAAAAATGCAAACACTACAGAAGCACATAAATTAAAAAGTAGAATCCCCTCATTCCACGCTCATCATTCATTCATAGTCCTGGAAAGAACCTCTGTTGGTGTATATATTTTCTAAGCATTCTCAACACATAAACTAACATTTCTACTTAAAAAACAAAACAAAACCAAATAGAATCATAGTGTGCTCATTTTCTGCAACTCTCTCCCCACTCAAACTGTAGGAGGCAATTATTCTTAGAATGCCTCAAATATTTTCCTCTCTCAAATACTTATTTTGTTCCAGCCATCTGGCTTGCACTCAAGCAGAGTCCTTCAGCCTCTTTGCACTTCAGGTCGTCAGGAGGCCTCATCAACAAGCTAATTGCCAATGTGTCACTACTAGGGGAGGTGCTATGTCCCTGCAGAGAACTCGGTCCTCCTCCTGATCCCCAGAGGAAGGAAGGAGGAGACCATAGCAGGGGTGGGAGGGTGAGAGGGCTTACTCACCGATGAGGCAGCCCAGCTGTTGAAGTTGTGGCTGTCCCTCTCTGGGGAGACGGAAGATGCATCCACAATAGCGGCCGAGAGGTATAAGACGAAGGCACTGCCATTAAAGCACAGACCCTGGGGGAGACAAGGAGGTGGTGTGTTCAGGGAGTGTAGGAAGGTCTGGGTACCTCCAAATTTCAGAAGTGGCCAGAACCGCACTCGGGGTGTGGTAAGGAGCCCATCTGGACACGTGGAGGGCAGGGGACGAGGGCTGTGAGAAGGCAGCTCCTCAGTGTTTTTGGGAGGAGAGGGTTTTATACTAGCTCATACTCAGACACCCAGACACCCCTCCTTCCTCTCCAAGTCACCCAGGCTGCACACTGCCCCTTTAGCCCTTTCTCTCCCTCATTTTACTCTTTATCCTCATTTCATCCAGATTTCAGCCATGGTGACATACCGGCTAAGGAAGGAAGGCTGCAGAAGGGGCCACAGCGAGATCCGCCTCAGCCCATGCTCCCTGGCAGCAGATGCACCCTGTTAGCACCCCATCCTGACACAGAACTGAGAGAGAGCTTCTCCCACAGCGGGCCCAGCCGATTTTCTAATCCATGGCTCCAGGCAGGAAGGGGCATTTAAGTGAGCTCCTCAAGCCCTTGCAAGTTCTTAAAAATCAAAGGAGCTTATTATATGTATTAATAGAGCCCCCTTTGGGAACTAATCCCACTCTTAGCTTCACCTTATTGTTTCCTATTCTTAGAGAAGGGAGATACGTAAATCCAAGCACGTATTTGGTTTTCAATATTATTTAAACTCTAGGAAACCATACTTAATGTGCAAAGCTTAGTCCTATCTGAACAAGGGTGAGGGGTGGGGTAGGGCAGAACCAATGCTTCATACAGGTAGAGGAGGGGTGGCTCTCAAAGAGTAGGCCCCTACAGTCTGACATCTATCCTTCAGTAATTCAGAGACACAGGGATAGGGAGGGTAAAGGGGAGGAGGCAGTATCTTTTTCTTCTCAGAGAAAAGAAGGCACATAGACTTTTCCAGATTCAGGCTCCAGCATTCTGAGATGGCTTGTGTGTCCATTGACTGCCTCTACACTTTGCTCATCTTGTTCCTGAGTTAGGGCAATTCACTTTTGAGAGAAGGGTTAGTCCCAGAGTTCAGACCACATAAAATGCTCATTTGCCATCAGAAATGTGTCCCCAGAAAGCCTTGTTTTTTTCTGGATGACTCAGTATGCTTGTTGGTTGTGGTTCTTTTCTTGTTTTTGGTCCAGAAACACATTGGTGCATATTTTCAAATTTTACTTTTGTTTACTAATGACAGGCATTTTGATGTTCTTAGTGTTTCCAGCATTATAAATACTAGTGTAAGGCTGGCCAAGTGGTGCGATAGTTAAGAGCTGGCTTGGGACGCCAGAAGGCCCTGGTTTGGATCCCACATGTGAGGGCCAGTGACACTGCCCTCTATAGCTAAGATGCTGAACAACAGCTCAACCTGGAGCTGGGCTGCTGTGAGTCGCTGCCGATGGTGTAGGCTGCAGCCCCTGCTGTAGTGGGTTGCCATGGGCTACCGTGTGTAGCCAGCAGCCAGCGTGAGCGGCCGTCCAGAGGCCGGCGACTGATCTGCCTCGCCCAGGAAGAGAACAATGATGGTGCCAACTTGGGCCAGTGAAGCAACGTTCTCCACAGCTAGACTGAGGAACAAAAGGACAGCAACTTGTCTGTTCCCCATCCTCCAATTCCCCAGCGCTGTTCCCATCCTCCCAATTCCCCAATAAAAAAAAATCTTAAAATAAATAAATAAATAAATAAATAAATACTAGTGTAATGAACATCTTTGAACATGTGTTTTGGGGTACCCAGGCATGTTCAGTTCCTCATACAAGGGATTAAGATGAATGAGAGAACATTCAAAGAGAGCCCAGCCTGGGCAGAATGCCCTGACACAAGTCCTGGGTCTTGCCCACTTGGCTGTGAGAGGAAATGGGCAGAAGGCTTGCTGAATATACGACTTGTGAACTCCCTGAGTATACGGCCCTGTCCCGTATTAAGTGTGGCCTGTTCCATTTTTCTAAGGAAATGAGAAACTCCTATTTCCCCTGGAAAGGAGTGGGGAAGTAGAGAGATAAATACGAGGTAGGGCATCCTCCCTCCATACATCACCCCACTGCGGGTCCTGATGGTTTATCTCGTCCAAACGGTTGAAGGTCTGAATAGAACAAAAAGGCAGACCCTCCTGGGAGCCAGAGAGAACTGCTCCTACCTGACTGCTTTGAGCTGGGACATCAATCTTTTTTTCCTGCCTTTGAACTTGAAAGGAAAAATTGGGTCTTCTTGGGTCTTGAGCCTTCCAGCTTTTGGGCTAGAATTTACTTATATGATCAGCTCTCCTGGTTTTCAGGCCTTTGGACTCAGACTGGAGCTACACCATTGGCTCTCCTGGGTCTCCAGCTTGCTGGCTGTAAATCTTGGGACTTGTCAGCCTCCAGAGTCACGTGATCCAATTCCTTATAAGAAATCTCTTTATATATGTCCTACTGCTTTTTTCTTCTCTAGCAAGCCCTGACTAATACAGAATTTGGTGCCAAGAGTCGGGTAGACAGATTTTGGAACCAGGAGTGGAGTGCCACTGTAATCACTACCGAAAAATAAGGAATGGCTTTGGGACCAGATAAAGAATAGAGGTGTCTTCTAGAAATATGGACACTAACAGCGATTCTGGTGAGGGCTCAGAAAGGAAAAAGGAAAGCTGGCGTGAAAGCGTCCATCTTCTTAGAAAATACATAAATCATTACGAACAGAATGTTGATAAAAATATGGGTGTTAAAGTCCATTCTGATGAGGTCTCAGATGGAAATGAGGACTATATTATTGGAGCCTTGAGAAAAGGTGAGCCTTGTGATAAAGTGGCAAAGAGCTTTGCCAAACCGTGCTCTTCTAGTGTTCTGTGGAAGGCAGAACTTGCAAGCTTCTATGAAACTGGCTATTTAGCAGAGGAGATTTTAAAGCAAAGTGTTGAAAAAGCAGCTTGGTTCCTCCCTCCTGACTGCTTATAGTAAAATGCAAAATTGACCAGAGGTGGACTAAATTCCATCCTACCTCGTGGGCAATGGACAAAAAGAACACCCCTGGCTTTCTTACCACAGTTGTCCAGGGAATCTGGGGAATCCTGGTGTAGGTCATTGTTATGTAGAGGATGAGGAAGAAGACGGTGAGCACCCAGTAAAATACAGCTACAAACATGACCCAGCCAAAGGCGGGGACCCGGAAGTACTCAGTTCCAGCGATAAGTGTCCATACCAGCAGCCCCAGAACCTGTGAAATAGACAGGCAGTGGAAAAGGGAGGAGAAAGGAGAAAATAAAGAAAAAGAAGGAAGTGAGGACAGAAAAAAAAAATCATTAAGAGAGTGTCAATCATAACTTTCATCCATGTATACACATATACATAACTTACAAAAATAATAGGAGTTGCAAACTCACATGCTTACAAATGCCAGGAAGGTAAAATAAATGAACCTAGTAGGCTGGGCAGAGACCACGGCAAACAAGAAAAGCTATGTCTTGTTTTAAGTGGCAGTCTCTACTCAGCGCCAGTCCATTGTGGGCGGGTTTTGCTCCCCCCCCCCCCAGGAGAACACGGAAACGCAAGCTCTACATGATAATCTTGATTTTTTAAATATTAGCACTAACTAGAGTTTTAAAATACCTTGGGGGGCAAAACAACACACATCTATGGCAAGAATGTGCTCACAGGCTGATACGTGTCGAGGAAATAAGACTAAGGTCCACTTCAGGTGGTCCCTGGACTGATCTGCTCTCAGGGGATGAACCTCTGAGGATCCCCCACCCGCTAGGCTGCCCTTGTCGCAGGAGGCAGATAAACATGTAGCCTGAGAGAGCTTTCAGAAGGGAGGATGGCACTCAGCATTTTAACATCCTCGTAAGCTGCGCACGTATCCAGCAACAGTCGTCAACTCTCCGTCACTGCTGACGAGCAAGACCAAAGCCAAAGCCAAATTAATGTCGCTGTTGGCTAAAGGAAGGCTTCATCAAGGGCAAAGAACCTGATGCAAATCATAGGCATGATTACTCCTGAACAAAGGAAGGCCAGAGCGAGGTATGCACCTCACATTCCAGCACCTTTCAAGGACCAGAAGGACTTGGTTCCTACGCCATGAAAAAGTTAGTATCGAAACCATATCCCCAGGGGACAGTACCAGTACGAGGAGTCCAGGACAGGGCACAGGGCAAATTATTTCATTTCTGTTTCAGCTTTCTTTGCCGTATATGGAACAAAACACTACAGTCGTTTTTATCACAAAGCTAGGAAGGTAGCTGTCACTCATTCGGTTAGCAACGGAGAGGATCTAAAATATGCCAGGCTCTGCTTGTACACAACTTAAAATCTGGTGGGAGGGGCATATTGGAATAAATTCAACTATGAAATAATGCTTTAAAGGAAAATAAAGGCTGTGATCAGGGTCTACGACAGGGAGACATAACCTTGTTGGCAAGCATGCGAAGTGTCAGGGCAAGCCATGCTGAAGGATAAGCTGAAGACAGAGTTAAGAGCTCGTGAGCCCAGGGGGAAGGCAACATTCGAGGCGGAGGGCACAGCACAGGCAAAGGTCTGGAGGAAGGGGTGGCTTTCCGCCTTCTAGAAGCCATAAGAAAGTGTAGTAAGTTAGGACATGATAGAGAGGTTGAGGAGGGTCAGGTAACGTCGGCCCAGGACGCCTAAGGATTCTGTGCTCTATCTAAGGGCGGTGGGAAGGTTTTGAACACCACAGTGATAAGGGCAGGTGAGTTTTTGTAAGACCACCCTGGCTGCATGGCAAGAATGCACACGTGGAGGGGACAGGGTGGGTGTGAGGAGATAGGTTTAGAGGCTGTCGGGATCGTGCAAGAGGGAGAAGGTGGTACAGAGCTGGCCCTCTGTATCCACAGTTTCGCATCTGGGGATTCAACCAACCACAGATCAAAAATATTTGAAAAAAAATGGTACATTGTTGCTGATGTGTACTATGTAGTTAGGCCTATGATGGTTGCGTCTGTACTGAACACCTACAGACTGTTTTTCCTTGTCATTATTTCCTAAACAATACAGTATAACTATTTACATATCATTTAGATTGTATATTATAATACAGAGATGCTTTAAAGTATATAAGAGGATATGTGTACATTATATGCAAATACTATGCCATTTTATATAAGGGACTTGAGCATCAACAGATTTTGGTACCTGCGGAGGGTCCTGGAAACAATCCCCCCTGCCCCAGGTACCAAGGGACGACTGTATTCAAGACCAATACAGTAGCAGTGAATATTGGGAAGTGAGTGAATTCAAGACAAGTTTCAGAAACAGACAGCACTTTAATAGATTAAATTGGATAAAGTAGAATGACTCCCAGATCTCTAGAAATATTTACAAAGTGAATTCGCAGGTGATTTCCTCAAAGGGGACAATGAAACAGGAACGGGTTTAAGGGGCTGATCTGAACAATGGTTCATGAGCTCAGTTTTTAACCTACCCTGTCTGAGGTAGCCAGGGACCTCCAGAGAGGGACTGGAAGTGGGCGCTGCAGGGAGAAGCGTGCAGGCCCCTCTTTAAGAACTTCACCATTACTGTGAAGATCATTAAGCCCTCAGACAGTTTTCCAAGGGACATTTTTAAACTGCTCACTGAGAGAAGCCCAGCTCTGTGCCACAGTTTGGATGCCTGTGCTGGGGAGCAGGGGGCCGACTCTAAATGCTGCTGTTTCCCTTCTTTAGAATTGGAAGTTGACGTTCTTGTATCTGCTCACGTATATGAATTCCAAAGAAATGCTTAATGGAGATGTGCTTTTGTGCTTACATATGCAACAACAGAGTTTATTGAAAATGAAGATACACAAAATGGGACAGAATTCCAGAAAGTGCCAAGCCACACACGAATGGGGTTTTGGGGCCCGAATTCACTGTAACTGACAGGTAATCTATACACGTATATTTAACATTCCACTGGATCTGTAAGGCTGGTAATAGACGTAATCTGACACGGCAGGGTCTGGAACAACATCACAGGCTTCTTGATTGAAACTGAAAGGGTCATCACAGCCCTTTGTCAATGATCCTCACAGGAAACATAACCATTCATGAAGAGGCACTGCAAATGCGGTTAGGGTGACTCTCCAGGGGTGTGCAATGGTTTAAGAGCTTCCAGCACAAGCTGGTATCCAGCTAAACAGGCTCAGCTAAAAGCTCTTGGCTCCAAATGTGGAAATGTTTTTCATTATGAAAGCAAGTGGGGTCCACTGTATAGAGACGCTTTGTCTAATGTGCTAGCAGTTGTCATCTGTTACACACAGGGACAATATCGTTAACTGAGCCATCTCTCAAAGAGCAGGAATACATGACCCATGACCTCACCAGCAAACACAGTGGAAAAAAAAATGCCCGTCAAGAAAAGAAATGTTCTATCCAAGCGAATTTCCTAGGTAACTGGAATATATCTAGACACAAACCTTTGTCTCTCACTGTAACCAATACTGATGAAAATCACTTTACAAAAATGTTATTCATTTCAGGCTGTGTGTGTGTGTGTGTGTGTGTGTGTGTGTGTGTGTGTAAGACAAACTCTAGATCTTTATTTGCTCAGACTACAAAAATAGCATTTTCTTACACGAAAACTTTTTTTGAATGGTAACGCTAAGGCTTAAAAAAATTTTTAGAAAATGATAAATGCAGGTAAAAAGAAACACAGAGGTACATCATGTACATATAAAATAATAAAAAAAATGACACCCCTCATCCCCCAGTTAAGTTTTCAAGAGAAACCAATATAAACATTTTATATCTACTCTTCTTAACTTCTTTCCCTTGCATTGATAACTACCACTTGCACATCCTTTTCTCTCTTAAAAATATGGATTCCTCTGCCATAGCTTGCTTCTTTCAGTCGGCTTACACCATGGAGGACCTCCATCCACGCTGCATACAGATCTTTGCCAGTTTTAACAGGTTGTCTAGTTTTCCATGATTCATGATACTGGTTCCCTATTGAGAGAAGCTTAAGTTGTCTCCTTTATGTTTGTACAAAAACGCCCACGGAACATTCTTATACTATATATCTCTGCATACCTGAAATTTAGGATAGATTCCTAGAAGTGAAATTTCCAGGATAGTTTAAGCTTTGGAGGTTCTGCCAAATGACTCATCAAAAACCCTGTACTAATATTTCCTCTCATCCATGTACTCATGCTCTTCCCTTCCACTCTCACTAAATTCCTACCTTTTTAAGGGATTAAAAACCTAATCTAAAAAAAGAGATCTCATGCTTTGCCTTTTATCGCTTTATTGAAATGCAGCTAGGAAAAAAGTGCACGAATCCTAACAGCTTGATGAATTTTCCCACATGGAACAAACCTGTGTAACCAGCAGCCACATCAAGAAACAGGACATGACCATCACCTGGGCTCCATCCCTACCTCTGGTTACTCCTCCCCTCCTCCTGGGGTAACAGCTCCCTCAATGTCTCTCACCCTAGATTAGTGTTGCTTGATTTTGAACTTTGTATAAATGGAACCCTATCGTATGTACTTTCATGTTTGGTTTCTTTCACTCAACTCTGTGAGATTCCACCATGACCTTGAATGTTGTTCATTCTCCTAGCTATACATCAATCGTTCTCAAAGAGGAGTGAGCATCAGAACCACCTGAAGGGCTTGTAAAACCACAGATGGATGGGCCCCAGCCCCCAGAGTCTGTGATTCAGAAGGTCTAGGATGGTCTCTGAGGATCTGCAATCCTCACAAGTTCCCAGGGGATGCTGCTGTTGCTGGTCCAGGGGCCAGACTTTGAGAACCACTGGTAAATATTCTTGGTTTCTTCTGTATTTCCCTGATCAGTGGTGAGGATGGTAGAGCATCTTTTCAAATGCTTATTAGGCACTTCTAGTTCTTTCCGTATTTACTGATAAGTTTAAAAAAATCACTTTCTTAGTGATTTGTAGAAATATTTACGTAAGAATGATAACTAACTAACTAACTAACTAACTAACTAACTAACTAACTAACTATATATATATATATATATATATATATATATATATATCAATATTTCCCCCAGCCAACTTTGCTTTTTAGCTTCATAGAGTCTTTCATTATATGGAAATTTAAGTTTTTTACATAGTTGATTGATTGCTCTTTAAGCCTTCTCCTATTCCAGTCTGCTTAAAAAGGTCTTCCTCACCAGATTAGAAAAATATTCTCCTACTTTTTTTTTTATAGTTTTGTATATATGTTTAGATCTTTAATCCAACCTGAAAATTTAG